ATCTTCACGTTTCCACCTCCCTTCTCCCCTCCTAACCCGTCTCCCACCATCACCACTACTCGTGACCACCTTGTAACACGCCTCATCTCAATCTTGTCGTGCCAGCACACCTTCCACCAATCGACACAATGGAGACGCGTGTCCAATCGTTCGCGCACTATGGTGGCACTGCAAATAACTTGCCTCATCACTCTACCACTCGGTTAGCCAATAACTAAAGTGACGCCGTCACCACCACCACCACCACCACTAACATTAACATTTGCATGCACCAGAGACCAACTCCTCAACCAACAATTCTCACACCACTTATCACAAACGTCATTATTGCCTTAAAGTTCCACCTCCCACCACCCGGTCGAGGCGTGCCTAAATCCCCCCTACCGTAACACAACTACCATCCATGTCAGCATTCAAGCACCAACAATCTGCGTGATGTGAATGCTCACACTCTCCTATTCCAATACACGCACACCACTCACATTTTCCACTACCAACTCACCTTCCACTTACCAACCCTCTCACCCTTCCCCCATTGTGACACACAACACACCTACTTACAAACAATCAGTAGACACTATCCACTAACACGTCAACAACACCACCACCCTCGTGTTTGCCTCATGCGCCCCATCCAGCCAATTGTTGACTACATTCTCGTCCATCATGCGCATACACTCTCATCATCATCACGCCACCTTGCATGCATCCACCCACACAGCCAAGACAACTCATTCACACGCAATCTCCTCCTTCTTGTTATAACCAATTTGACAAATGATTCACTAATACCATCCTCCAACCCCGATTCCAACCTCCTTCCAGGTGGCACAAGGGCTGATAAGGCACATATGTGTGACTGTCTGTCTGTCTGTCTGTCTGCGTTGGTGTGTGTGTGTGGTTGGTTGGTTGTTTGGTTGGAAGATAGGTCATTATGAGCAAAAGGAGCGGGAGAGATGATAGGGAGGGAGGAAGAAGTGCAAAGGTGGCCAGGCGGGTAGACGAGAAGGGCTTCTAGAAGGAATCCGAGTCATCGCCCTCATCCTCCGAAAGGTATTGACGTCGTTGCAACAGCAATTTGCTCAATGCATCACTCAGCGACGCTTCTAGATTGCCTCGATTGTTCTCCGCCGATGGAGACGGTGAAGGAGCTGCCTCCGCCTCAATCTAAAAGGAGGGTAACACAGGCCACTTTGATTGATTGTCATTTTCTCCTTTTCCTCTCTTTTGTGTTTGTATCGACAATCCTGCCCCGTAAATTGTGGAAATATTTGCAATTTTTTTGTGTTATTACTGTCTTCCTATTAACGTCCTTTCGATGTTGTTTCCGCCTCTATTGGTTAAACAATTGTGTTATTTAACAGTATATACTTCATGCATTTGTGAGTATAGCCGAATCAGCCACTCAATGCCATCTGGATGATAGAACGTCCCATCGCAGTCACCGGTACAGACCATGCATCAATGATGCTGCTCCATACCTCAGCCATTAAATTGCCACTCTTGACGATCCAACAATTGAATTGTCGATTGTCCCCTGCACTTTATTGAACATAACAAAAGACTTTCGTCGTCTCCTGCGAACTCGACAATAGGGGAGATTCAAGCACCGAGGTCGATTTATAAATAACACTTCTCAAAGCTTTTAGCACGCGACAGCTATTAGAGCCTAAAACGGCATCTGTACTAAAAGAGTTCATCAGGCTGGAAGAAAATGGGCTCCGCCTGTATCAATTGCAATGACTTCAGCAGGGAACTTACAAAAATTGGGAGTGCGGGAAAGGGTTCGCTTGGAGTAGGGTTTAAGTTCAAGTCCTCTGAAGCTCCTTAAAAAATAGTGGCTCACTGACACGGAGGCAGAGATGTCTTATGAAGCGAAAATCCCTATAATGATTGTTGACGGTAAATTTTAGTGTTTGTTGGACTGTTCTTTGCAAATACTTTTACGTAAGGGGTCAGATTGCCTCCAACAGAAGAGATGGTCATCAAGCAACAACTTCAATCACCGACCTTTCTTGTCTGTTGCCCACGTACATCCTGTTCTACCATCATGTTTTCTTCCGACTTTAAACATTTCTCCTCATGCTACATTTGTGCTGACATATGGCAATCTCAACTTTTGACCGCTCCACTTCCTTATAACGGGAAAGTTGGTATTGTCGTCTTCCGCCTGCAAGTGCTTGATTTCACATTTCCTGTCACAATTTTGCCTTTGGATTGGGGATTTAATATATGTGCTGCACATGCGTGACGATAAGCGAAGCTTCTCGTCCTCAATTCCAACTCTAAAGTTGCATCAAACTGCAAATCCGTTGTGTGTTCTCAGAGCTGAGGTCACTCACCACTCAACTACATCTTTGATAGGAAACAAGTGCGGAGACTGGCATAGAGAATTTGAGAGTGCAATCCTTCACCACCGACTACATTGTTGTGGCTGACGCTGGTGATTTATCAGGAAGTCAAATTTTAAGAAGCATGGAACTCTAAGAAACTGCTGTGTAGGCTCCCGGCAATACCAAATAAACCTCGGCAAGGGAACGTTGCAATGCTTTGTTTATGTGACTACCTGACGCTCGGCAGTCACTTTAAGATTTGACAGGACCTTGTAGGTATAGGCTGGCCTTCGAACCATGCTGAGGCCTATTTGCTCTGTTTTCCTCGGAAACACATATCCAGCTTTACTGACTGCCTTCTTCCACCCTATGGAAAGTTTCGAGACACTACAAACGCTTCCTCTAAAAGTCCCCGTAGGGAGACTTTCGAGCTGAGGACCGCTTTGATGAATATTATTATGTCCTCGCTAATTAAAATTTAAAGTACGGATAGGTACTG